TCCGTCGTCTCCTGGTGGAACCAACCTTCGAATCTTTTCACCCAACACTCACTCGAAATGGAAGTAAGTTTGGCAATTATGAAACAAGAGATTCCTCGAAACCCAACTTTTCTTCGCATATAATCACGATAGGTCCAAAGTAGTCGGTTAGCGCGAAGTGAAAACAGAGGCCGTAATTTTACCAGTGCATACTCTGCCCAGCCCACAACATGACTGCTTAGCCGGTGGACAGAATTTCGGCAGAGTAGGCCGGGTTTCGGAGACAAGCGTAAATGGGTACAATAAATGGAGCGCACAACGGGACATCCTTTTGACCTCCGTCGACTAATGATCCGAATCTGCGATCTGATAGAGCCTACAAGAGACACTCGATGTCAGACCACTGTCGAAGGCCTGTCTCAACTTGCTAGAAAGTCGAAAAGTGGGCCTCCAAGCCAACGCAAACACATAAAAGAGCATCAATCAGGCAGCAAGATCTTGTGTTGCTTGGAGCAACATTGTAAGCTGCCTTTAAGGGGAGGGAACGGAAACCCCATTCGGCTAACCTTGCCAAATATTCCACGACTTGTGATGTATAGCGCGAAGAGATGTCGATCACAACCCGCGCCGGACATTGCGTCATAGCACAGCTTCTGGTGCTCCGCGGCTGCGACACGAAAGAGCCCCACGCATTCGGCGATCCCTTTGGCCCGTGCAACATCTTCAGCCCCAGCTGCCGAGCGAGGCAATCCAGAGCCGTCGCGTCTACACCTTGCACTGGCCGGCCTGATCTCCGAGCAAAAGGAGGAAGTACTGCCCGGTACCCGAACGTCATGATCTGTGACCGGCTCCCGGAAGGGGGTCTGCTCGTCGCCACTGTACTCGTCGGTAGAAGCAGTGTCGCCGTCCACCAGCCCAGATTGTGAAGTGTCGGTCTGAGGGTCGAAGGCCAGCGTGTCGTCCAGACGAATAAAAGCCCTGTAGGGAGGATGATTGCGCCGGACGAATGTGTGCGCGTTTGGTTATTTGTGCATGTAGAGGTGTTCGGATGAAAAAGAGGTGATGACCAGAGAGAACAACACAAGACGGATGCTTAGAACAAGGAGACTGGGTTGTAGGATGAATGCGGTGAAGTGGAGGAGACAGCACATTTAGACATGGGAGTAGAAACAATACCTTTGCAAAAAGACAATTCTTGGTGCTGAGAATGGCAAGACTCACCGACGATGCCGACGAAACTTTCTCCACTATCCCCGATGACTTCGTGTTAAGCTTTCGTCCGTCATGCATAGGACATCGTCATAATAAGTAACCATTATTCGCGAACAATCACCAAAACATACCAAACCAAAAAAATTTACCGGCTGAGATCATAATTGCATACTACCTTAACGAAATAGGGTGAATACATTACATGCATGCACACTATGCATATGCACGCAAGAAGTTAAAGCAACCTTCAGTATTACGGGATCATGCACTCGCTAATTTG